GAATAAAGAAAAAAATGATAAAGGCCAAAGGAGAGAATAACATGATGATCAAAGGGAAGAGAACGGCAAAGAGAGAGAAAGAGAGAAGATAAGACGAAAACACACACAAAGAAAACATGAGGAAGGAACGGAAGAAATGGAGGAGAAGAATAGGAATGAAGGACAATAATAAAGGAAAAGTATACGAGGAAAGCATATAATGGAAACAGAAAGACGAGATAAAAAGAAATAATACAATAAATATGATGACCAGGAGATAAAGATGGAAAAAGAAAATCATGAGAAACATTTAAAAAAATATATATGAAAAGTTTAGATAGAAAATGAGATACTGAGGGAATTAAGGATAGATAGAAGAAAACAAAGGATCATATCAATAATAAAAAAATAATAATAAATAAATAAATAAAAATGGTATATCAGATATTTGGTATTTTCTGGTGTGGTTTTATGAGACTTGGCTTTAAAAATGCATTAAGTGGGATATTTCACATTTTCTATCTCATATTTTCGAGACTTTTATTCAGATTTCCTCGATTTTGTGCTAAATGCAGTATATCACTAGATTTTAGTTTCATGTAATGTTGATCGATTTCAATGATATGTAAGTAACTTTTAGAACACTAACTGATAATGAGATAAGGCAAATCAAGCGTGGGTGTATGTGTGTGTTTGTGTTGTTGCATTTGTTTGGCAATGTATATGCGTTTGTTTGTCTACATGTATGTTTTGTCTCCATGTGAGTGTTTTTTTTCTGCCTATGGTTTATGGGTGTTTGTGTTTGTTAAAATGTTTGTTTGTTTATATGTTCTTTTGTATGTGTTTGTGTCCCTATGAGGGTTTGTGATCGTCTGTTTGTTTGTGTTTTCTTTTGTTCATGTATGTAGGTCTTCTTGACTATTTGAGTTCAGTGTTTGTTTATGTGTGTGTGTTGTCTAGGTTTTCGTGTAAGGGTATGCGCGCGCGCGCGTGTGTGTGTCTGTGTGTGTTTGTTCAAGTGTGTGTTTGTTCAAGTGTGTGTTGTGCAGTTACGCAAGTTTGCTTACGTTTAAGGACACTTCTGTTGTTATTGATTTAAACCACAGTATTCACATGATATTAATTTCATCTAATGATTGATTATGTCAGCTGTTTCCCTCCGAAAACGCTCGTGAGGAATTTGCTTTCGGAACAGAAGGAAAAGAAAGGAAAAATGTTTGAGTGAGTGTAAATGTGCGTGCGTGTGTGTGTGTGCATATATATATATATATATATATATATATATATATATATATATATATATATATATATATATATATATATATATATATATATATATATATATATATATATACACGTATATATATATATATATATGTATATATATATATATATATATATTATATATATATATATATATATATATATATATATATATATATATATATATATATTATATATATATATATATATATATATATATATATATATATTATATATATATATATATATTATATATATATATATATATATATATATATATATATATTATATATATATATATATATATATATATATATATATATATATATATATATAATATATATATATATATATATATATATATATATATATATATATAATATATATATATATATATATATATATATATATATATATATATATATATATATATATATATATATATATATATATATATATATAATATATATATATATATATATATATATATATATATATATATATATATATATATATATATATATATATATATATATATATATATATATATATATATATATATGTATATATATATATATATATATATATATATATATATATATATATATATATACATATATATATATATATATATATATATATACTATATATATATATATATATATATATATATATATATATATATATATATATATATATATATATATATATATATATATATATATATATATATATACATATATAAATATGTGTGTGTGTTTGTGTGTGCTTTGAACCTCCGTACTTAACGCCTAGAGTCGCTATGCCAGTCGGAGGCCTCGTGAACCATGCTAAGAAAGGTTGAAATTCTTTATGTAATGATAACAAACTCCGGAAATCCTTGTGCCATGACACTTCATCCCGGATCGGACTATCTGATCGAAATCATTCGGTGCAGAGTAAACAGTATACGAAAACTGCGAATCTTATCTAAATATCTCTACCAGGAACCGAGATATTGCAAGCAGTCGTTCTGCAACAAGACCAATAAAGCATGTACTAACATCAGTCACAATTTTATCCATTTATCCATATTTATATTGCATCAGACTCATTCCATTAGTGTCTCCCTCTACATATGTCCCTGCGAATGAACAATCGTACCAATTCCCAGAATTTGTATTGCACTTATTGATCATAAACGAGATAACGATAACACAACATGCAAGCCTATCTCTCTTATCGCCACACGTAGGTTTCGGGTATTTTAGCAGCGGCA